AGCCTGGAGCCTGCTTCAGATTCTGTCTCCCTCTCTCTCTGCCCTTCCCCCGCTCATGCTCTGTCTCTGTCAAAAATAAATAAACATTAAAAAAATTTTTTTAAAAAGGGGGGCCAGGGGGAGTCTCCAATTGCCTCTATGTGTAGAAGATATCTCTGGAAGGACAGAGACAATAACACTGGTTGCCTCCAAAGACAGAGAAAGTGCATGACTGTGGGTAAGAGGGAGACACTTTTTACTCTGTGCCCTTTTATACCCTCTTTATTTTGCATATCATAAAAGCAAATTTCTATATTTTTCCTCCTTTAGGACACATATCCTTGTCTCTGCCCTGCCTTTTTGAAGAGACTGCTCATCAGGAGTTCCTATCCGCCCCCCCTCCCCAGCCACCCCACCAACACCATGGACTCTTCTCTTGACTGAACAGACCCAAGCCTCTGACACCTTGCAGTCACTGCAAACTGCCAGCAAGATGAGTGGGAAGAGGCGGAGTCAGCAGATCTGTTGCTAACCTTGCCTTGTACTTTCTCCCACCTTCATTTTGTTTTCACCCCACCTCTAAACATGTCCCCACATCCACACCTGCCCTCTCCACAGGCTTGTCACAGAGAAGGTGAGAGAAAAGGAAACCTTTGGAGGAGGAAGTTGCTAGTTGTTTCAGCTGATTTGAAAAGCATAAATAAACTTCCTATTTGGTTCCTTGCAGTGTGTGACAGTGTCAGATTTCTTTTTGCAGTGGTATCCAAAGTGCTGGTTCCAGGCAGTCTTGCCACCTCCAAACAAAGGACAAAAGGATAGCCTGAGAGAAAACAAAAACTCAGGCAGAGAAGGAGACTTGCAGTTATCTTGCTGGGCAGAATCCCCTCTGGAACCCAGGCCTGCCTGCTCTCTGGTTGGCTTCTCAGACTTCTTCTGGCTGCATACTTGATTATTTTTCCTTACGTGCTGACTCTGAAATGAGACAGGGCTAGAAGCAAGTCCTTGGAGTCAGCACGTTGGAGAGTTCCTTTTCGGACCCCGGTGAGCAACCACAGTGCATCTTGCACCTCAAGTCCCAGATAAGGGCCAAGGAAGTGCTTTGAGGAGGTCTTATGTGTGCACAGCCCCGTTCTTGTCCCTGTTGTCTGTACCTAGCGCTCAGGTTATCTGTGTCTTGAAGAGGCAGCAAAGCAAGGTGGTTGAGAACATGAGAATAAACCCCAGTTCCCCATTTACTACATATGTTCTCTCAAGCAAGTTACTTGACATTTTATGCCTTAATTTCTCCACCTTAGAATCTAGTGGGGACTCTGTTTCAGTGGGTCATTAGGAAAATTAAAGAGGCAACATGTGGGGCGCCTGGGTGGCGCAGTCGGTTAAGCGTCCGACTTCAGCCAGGTCACAATCTCGCAGTCCGTGAGTTCAAGCCCCGCGTCGGGCTCTGGGCTGATGGCTCAGAGCCTGGAGCCTGTTTCCGATTCTGTGTCTCCCTCTCTCTCTGCCCCTCCCCCGTTCATGCTCTGTCTCTCTCTGTCCCGAAAATAAATAAAAAACGTTGAAAAAAAAAATTTTTAAAAAGAGGCAACATGTGTAACATACTTGGAACAACGCCTGGCATGTAGAAACTGCTCAATAAGGCTTAGCTATCATTTATGGCCAGACTCACTGTGCAAGAAATTTTGGAAAATGTACAACTGAGCAGCTCTAGAAATTTTACCTCTGAAACTGCCTATTCAGAGCAGTCCTGGAATGGCAATAGCCCTCCTCACCTCTGCAACAACCGTATTCTAGCCCTGCAGTAAGACACCCATTTCACATCACCAAGAGAGGGAAACTGGAGAGCTGTCAATGCATCCCAAGTTTCTCAGAACATTTTATGACAGCCATTCATTTCCAGATTGCCTGACCCGGGAGTTAAAAAAAAAAAAAAAAGAAGCTTTTTGTGTATGAGAAGATAAAGAGGTAAGAAAAGGGGACAATGGGGTCTGGCAGAAAAAACAAAAAAGAGGGAGATAAAAGGCAATACAGAACTGTTGATAATGTGCCCTCCGCTTTACACAGGGCGCTAAAGGAGACTGAACCACTAGGTGGCAGCAGATGAGCAGATGAACCAAAAACAACCAATTGCCTCCCGTTTCAGGAAGCTTTGCACCAATCCCAACCTACAGGTAAGCACAATGGGCATTGTTCTGAAGTGTTTACCGGAGGAGGCAAATAGAAACCCCTCTATGCCCCCAGAGTGTTCCCTCCCTTAAAGAACCCCCAGGGACCCAATGCTAGAAGGCTGGTGGCTAAGAGGAGAGAGCACCATTGTGCCACCGCTGTGTGAATGAGACACCAGAAAAGGGAGAACCAGAAGAGGAAGAGCAGGTTTCTGGGGCAGGGTCAGAAGAGAGATGAAAAAGGAGAAGAAAGGTCAAGGTAACTTCACTCTCTGCACAGTTCAGCAACCTCTCGGTATCATGGTCATTGGCTTCCAGCATTTAAAACAAAATCCCCCTTAGTGCAATAGTTTCTTCTATGCCTGGAGGCCGGAGGAAATAACCACATGCCATACTGTGCAGGTCTTTGGCACCCCCATCAACTGCAAGAACAAAACTCTCAGACCTCTGATCCTTCTAGCTGTAAAACTCAGCAGAAAGAGAAATCAGATTGGCCCTCAAAGATATGAACAAATGGACTAATCAGGAATTTGGTCCATAGCCATCTGGCGATCTCTGACATGGTTACAGGAAAAGATAGAGGAAGTCGGATGGGTTGATAAGACTATCTACAGGCTGAAGGACATTCTCTTTTAGGAGAAAGTTCTAAAGGAGACCTTTTGGAAGCAGTAGATTCCTACAGTCTGTCTGAAGCTAAGCCACACCTACCAAAACTGCTCCCACTCAATTTGACAGCCACTATTTTAACCAACAGCCTCAGAAAGCAACTGGCTAATCAGATTACCACGTCTCTGACTCCGCTAACCAAAGCCCCACCTTACTAACTGGATAACTGGGGCATTAGACCGCATATCTAACCACGTTATATGTAGGATGGCTTCTTGATGGCCACTGATTACTCTGGCCCGGGAAATAGGAGAGGGAGGCTTTTTCCCTTTCCTGATTTTATGTAAAGGAAGGAAAAGAAGAACAGAAAGATCCTTAATTAAAAAAAAATTTTTTTTAATGTTTTTATTTATTTTTGAGACAGAGAGAGACAGAGCATGAGCAGGGGAGGGGCAGAGAGAGAGGGAGACACAGAATCTGAAGAAGGCTCCAGGCTCTGATCTGTCAGCATAGAGCCCGTCGAGCCCGACGCGGCTCTTGAACCACGAACTGTGAGATCATGACCCGAGCCACCCAGGCGCCCCAAGATCCTGAATTTAAGAAGCAAATGTATATCTGCCTTTTACAGGTAAATAAGTAATAACTTACCGAGAACGCCTAACATCCGAGAACAACTAACTTAGTGACATCCACTGGATAATCTGACCCGGGGCTGCTACCATTTGGCCCGCATTGTCCAAGCTGATATCTGAGAATCCTAAATGCTCTGAAAGCAGCCTTTCAGCTACATTTCACTAAAAGTACTTTCTCCTAGTGTGTTTTCTCTGTCACCCATATAGCAAAATAGCACAGACACTGTTTTGCACCAGCTCAATGTTAAATTTTCTCATACGGTTGTCTCTCTTAGAAAATCTGTATTTAACTCAAAACCCACTGCACCTGTTCCTCTGGCGAATAAAAAATGGGAAAGAGAAGGGAATTCCTCTTGCTGCTCATTTCCTAAATTCAGACAGTCTGATTCCGTTTAAAGTGACAGCAAGGGCAAAAGTTGGACCTGACGAGACGCGCCCCCTCCCATTGGAGACAGATACTTGATCTCAACATAGCCTGTGAGGAACTACCTAGATTTCAAGTTAGCGTTCACTTCTTTTTTTAGCTTGCTCAGTTGCACCGCCTCATTTGCCACCAGTCTCTGCAAGTGGCAAAGCTGAGGATCTGAAAGGTGTTGACTTGGACAAAAATCACACAGAATCTGCCCAGGAAAGAGCAAATACAATGAACAACCCCGGAAATTCTCAGTCTGCTGTTCTGCTTGTTGAATCACCCGAGCTGGGCTGCAGTTAGACACCTCCAGCGACACATTTTCAAATTCTACTTTTGGTGCCAGTCACTTGCATCACAATGAAGCAGTGGTTCCGTGCAAAGAGCAAGATCACGCATGTGCAGGGGGGAAGGGGTGAGGGTACATTCCTGCCTTTAAAAACCAGTCTGAGAAAGATGGAGTTGAAGAGAAGAAAGAAAGGAAAAAAAAAAAAGAAACCAAAGTTTGTTTTGTTTTGTTTTGTTTTCATATAAGAACAAAACTCTCAGATGACAAGTTCAGAGGTGCTTTAATCTTTGGCCAAAGAGAAGCCCTCCCCACAGGTCTCCCCACCAGGAGTGGCTCTGGAAGGATAAATCTTACATGGCATTGATTTGCTAATTCCTGGAGCACCAGCAAAATCTGGGGAGCTGATTTAGAAAAAGCAGCCATCTACACAGAGGATTATCCCTGCGACACAGCCCAGTGACTCAGACTCATTTTCTAGTTTGTGGATTACCATAGTCCCTTGCTCCTTCCCCTTCCCTCCCGCCCAGCCATTTCATTTCCCTTTAGAATTTAGAGATTGGTTAGGGAGTTTGAAACTTAGCAACTCAAAAGAGATTCTTCTTCTTCAAGGGATTTGAAGTGTTCTATTTCCCTATCAAAAACTAACTGTTCAGAAAACAGGTTGTTTTGGTGGGAGGTTTTTGTTGTTATTAGTGTGAATCGATGACCGTTCTTTTGCAACTCTATAGGATTCAATTAGCAATACATTTTCAGATGTAGCCCACTTCGTACAAAAATCTTTTATAAATGTAATGCCTCCCCCCACCCAAAAACTATCGTATTAGAGGAAACTGAACTAGAATTAACAAGGTGACCATATAACTTATTTCCCAGATATTGTTTGGAGACAAAAGGGGGAGTTATTGATAATTGATCATTGTGGCCAAGACCACAGGTATAAACCAGGATGAGAGGTCCCCCTAAAAATCAGGCAAAATGGGGCATCCAGTCACTTGGGGAGTGAGTGGACGGTAGACAGATTATCTGGCTCTCCGGATACGACACTTGGGAAATTCCTTCTAATGAAGTCCTCCCCTGCCAGCCCAGTTCCTAGACAAACTCTGCCAACTAGGCTTCTTTTCCTGATGCCTAGGCTGTTCCAGAGGCCCGCTATCTCTGGCATCAGGCTGCTCGTGGGGCTGGCCAGCTGTTGGCCGCTGTGTTCAGTTCCGTCACGGGGCCCCATCGCGGCCAGCCACCCCTCCACCTGGCAAGGCGCCACGGAGGGAAGCACGTCTGTAGCCCTGGGCAACAGTGCGCTGCTCCCTTGCCTCCTGTGATGGGAGCGAGTTCCAAGAGGCTTCTAGTGCTGGTCCTCAAAGAGGGCATCTGGCTCTACTGTAGACGCTCTTAACCTGATGGTGAGCAGCTGGCCCTCTTTTATCCCCTCATCAGATCAGAGAACAGAAAACAGGCTACAGACACTTCCCTCTTACCTGCGGTCAGACACTCCTTACTCTGCCTTGAACCTCCCACCCCCCTCCCCCCAGGCGGCACAAGCACACCACCCACCCGTACTGGATGCCTCCCATGGGTCGGCACCCCACTGG